TGGGGGGAGGAAAAACGGAAGATCACCTGAGACCTCACATGGGGTCTGTGATGAGGGGATAAACGGAAGATCTTCTGAGACCTCACATGGGGTCTGTGATGGGGGGGAGGAAAAACAGAAGATCAGCTGAGACCTCACACCGGGTCTGTGATGGGGGTATAAATGGAAGATCACCTGAGACCTCACATCGGGACTCAGCCCATCCATGTTGACTGAGCTCGTGGCACAGACTGCGCTAGCTGAGGTCACCACTGATGTCTGGGTGTCCTCACAGTTAGCTGGGTACTGTCTTCTACATCTTATACAATCAAATTTGCCTTCTGCCCAAAATGTTCCCTGGCATCCCTCAAGCTTGGAATAAATTTACATCTGGGGACAAGTGAAGTAGCAGAACACAGTGTGACAGCACCTACCTGAGGGACAAAGTGAGGAGAGGCCCTGGGTTCCAGCTGTCGAGAAGGAATGGAGTTAAGCGGCTTTCTACAGCGGGAGGGCTGTGCGTGCCAGCTCTGAACTTCAGCCCAAGGGGGAGTCTGCAACCTTTTTAGAAATGATTGAACTTCGGAACCCTTTACTTTGAGGTGAAAAACCTTTAAACATCATTTAAAAATAGGGTTGATGGTTGGGTAAATATTTTTCTATGGGAATGTTTTATTTTTACTATTATATTCTTCCTAATACAGAAATAAGTTAATAAGTTATAACCTAAGTTTTGCTGCTTTTTTTTTTATTTTTTGGTTTTTCAAGACAGGGTTTCTCAGTAACTATGGAGCCAGTCCTGGAACTTGCTCTGTAGACCAGGCTGGCCTCAAACTCACAGAGATCCACCTGCCTCTGTCTTCCAAGTGCTGGGATTAAAGGTGTGTGCCACCACCTCCCAGCAGTTTTGCTTCCTTTTTTTTAAAATTGCAATAAAGTTTTCAAAATAATCTTGATGTTTTTGACATTGTTGGTTGTATTGTTCTGCCTCACAGCAAAAACGAAAATTAGATGATGAGTAAAACAGCCACTTTGAGGTATGTAATATTTATGATTTACTATAAATCTAAATTATCATGAAAAGATAAATAATGGAGTCTGCAGATTTTTGTTACTAATATGTACTTTGTTATTTCAAAATCCACATTATTTTATTCAAACTTTCAGCTATCTTCTTACTACTTTATTTCTCATATGAAAAGCTTTTATAAAAGACGTAGTAAAAGTACAAAATATTTTAGTCATTCATCAAAAAAATCTGTTAAGAGAGAGAGTTGATAGGGATTTATCTAATTTAATTATTTTAAGATAAAAGGCAATGAATGAGGAATAATCGTAGTAAAATGTTAAAGCAAGGACGAATGAAAAATCTCTCACCAATTAAATCCACACCACTAGCAATGTTCGTTAGTGTTAGAATGCATACAACATAAAAAAAATTAACCACTGTGCCAAGCCATCCAGGGAGAATTTATTCAAGAAAATCATTAAATTACAGCACGTTTAAACAATGAACTTCCTGGCATTTAGCCAGCCTGGTTCACATCCTTGAAAATCAACACCCAGAAAAAAGCATCTCTTCCGGGGAAGTGTCAGGGGTAGCCTGACTTGAAAGTCTTTAGAAGCCTACCTAGCCCCTTCACTGGAGAAACCACTCATCTTACCTGTCTAGTGGATCCCCTGGAAAACCAACTTCCAAGGCTTTTTCTTGCCCCAGAATGTGCCCTCTAAGAATAGGATTTTCCCCAGTGGCACTAGAAGCAACTGCTAATCCCATGGTTGTTTGACATATTGGGTACCAAATGAAAAGAGTCCAAAACTTTTAAAGGGAAGTGAGGGAATGGAGTCTCTATAAAAAGAGATAAAACGAGTGCTGAGAATATAGAAAGCCATGCTATTTGTAGAACTGTGCAGAAGGTCATAAAAGATCCAAGAATGCTCCAAATTCTCCCCTCTGTTTGATTTCTGCAGAAAGTAAAGCTTGGTGCAGTACAATGGCAGAGTGGCACACTGCAGCTTGCTCCAACATTCAGGACTGGGAGACTTACTGCTGTGGCTGCCTCAGTCAGTCACCCACTGACTAATTGATGGAGGAAGGTCATTGGTAATAAACAAACTGCCTTGGCCCATTTTGATAGGCCATCCCTTAGGTGGGTGGAGTAGGCAGACAGAATGCTGGGAGGAAGAGGAAGTGAGCTCAGAGGCCATGCTCCCCTCTCCCGGGCAGACACATGAAGCTCAGACCTAGGATGGATGTAGGCTAGAATCTTTCCCGGTAAGACTAATGCTACATAGATTATTAGAGATGGGTTGATCGGGATATGAGAATTAGCCTGTAAGGGCTAGAGTTAATGGACCAAGCAGTGTTTAAAAGGATACAGTTTGTGTGTTGTTATTTCTGGTGTAAAGCTAGCCGTGCGGGAGCGGGGCAGGAAGAAAAGCAGGCCCGCAGCTCCTACTACAACTAATAAGATCACAGTCAGATATTCGTTGGGTACATGGACTCGGAGTCATCGAATAAGCAACAATGATAAATAACTAACAACAGTAACAATAAGCATCAGGTAATGTGAAAATATGATTTCCAGAATATCTGTAACATATTATTTAGTATGTCTAGTTTTGAGTAAAATGTAACAATAAAAAGTAGGGAAGTAAATATGACCATACATAGAAGAAAAAGAAAAAAGAAACGACCACTAAAAGTTATTCTTGGGGAAAGCCTCTATGTGAGATTCTTTAATTCAGCTATAGGATTCATTCAGTTCCTATGAACACCTCTAATACCATACTTATAGGAGCAACATTTCACCACAGGCAATTTCAGTAAAGCAATATAATCCTTCATGATGCTGGGTTAAGAAATAGTTTCTCTCCAGTGACCCCAAAAGTACATCCCCCAGATTGATAAATTGAACATGGTAGGCATTGCGAGGTAGGTGGAAAAACCACGTGCACTAAATGCAACAGAGAGATGTAGCATAGAGGCAAGTGCTATTTAGAAAGGCTATTCAGTTAACTATGTGGTGTTCAGACAACTCCGTGGATTTCTTCTGTATCGCTTGCTTATTGGTTAGACAATTCACTATTGAAGAAACGTGAAGAATAAAATAAGTAGGTTTCTATGTAATCTATGCTAGTGCTTCCCAACGGCTCTAGGAAAGTGTCTGGAGGTACTGATTACCAGCTACTGTAACAGCTGAACAGTGGACCTGGGCATTTACAATAGCAAAAGCTACCCCTTGTTCTTAGCACATGCCTGGCAGCTGATCGGCTCAAGATGGAAGAAATGTAGAAGGCGGTTCTATTCTGCACAGTTACAGAGAAGACATGTCTTCTCTGGTGAGGTTCCAGCAGCTATATACAAGGCTTCTAGACACTATGCAGCCATTTGCCAGAAGGAGAGAGAGCAGAATCAAGAGGATGGTGACTGGTGTGTAGCAGCTTCTACACTGTTCATTAGCCAGAATTCAGTAGTATGTCCTACCTCAGTTCCAGAGATGTGTGGTGACATCAATTTAGCAAAATATTCAGAAGCAAGGCTTAGTATTGTCTCTGACACAGAAAGTGGGTGAGGGGCAGCTCGAAGCTAAGGAGCAAGGACTAAGGATGCTTTCTGAACAATTCTGTCTTAGTTGATATCTTACGGTCAATCCCTACAAACTACTGACAGATAAAACCCAAAATAATCATAACAAGAAAATTGCATGGTAAATGTCCTAACCTTGAGTTTAATTAACAGCAAATGACTTTCCTGTGATCTCTCCAAAGCAGCACTCTGGAACATGCACACACCCACCAGACCTGGCCTGAGCAAGTGCCTAGCCCGAGTATTTACAGCTCCAGCTTCAGTTTGTGATACTTCCAACTGTGGAAGAACAAACAAACAACCAGAACGCTACCTTTAAAAAACAAACAACAGAAACAAACCCAACTACCCTCACCCCCAAATCACACAAAGCTCGTTTATTTGTTCACGGTCATGCTTTCATTAATGCCACTTGAACTTCTGAAATACTTTAAACGAAAACTTTTCCAGCTGTTAGAGCAGAAACGGCAATGGAGAAACACTGCTACTGGCGTTCAGGAAGTCAACCCGTCATTAACTCCTGGGTGAACTCTAACTATCCACAGCGTATCTACCTATCTAATTAAGTACTGCCTGTATCTTTTAAACTGAACCTTCACCCATTCGGGGGGGATCCTGGACAGAGGGGCAGCATTTCCTTTAGGAGCGCAGGACAGCGTGCTATTCGTTTGATTTTACCCTTGCGCACACAGGCAGCCCCATCTGAAGCAAGAATGAGCCTGGGCCGATTCCCGATGATTTCGGTGATATCACAGAATGTGCTCGAACAATCAAATCATTTTTTCTTAAAACTTGAAAAGGAAAATCCAGTGTCTCATATGCTGCCTGTTTCTCACCCTGCCCTCTTGGGCCACTGAGTTGCCCCCGTAAGCTCTCTGTGCAGGATCGGTGTCTCAGAACCACTGAACAGGGATTGGTCAGAAGGAAGCAGAGGCGGAGCCATTCGGAGCAGTCTCCCCCTCTCAATATAACAGCAGCCAGCAGCCAGCACCAGGCTGCTCTAGCTCACAGGGATGCTCCCGCTGAAAACTGAACTTCTGAGAGGCTCCGGTGTGAGTATGGGCACGCAGATGCGGCTCCCAGCTGTACAGCGACTCTCAGGATAAGGACTCTGAAAAGATCCTAAATGAATAAGGCTGAAACGAAAACTGCAGCGAGAACAAAAGCAAACGGCGGACTGGTCGACTGAGAATGAACATTCAGAAGCCCGGGTGTCTAAAGAGATAAGGAGCAGAGCTGAGCCCATAAGAGACCAACAACTCCTTTGCGAGCCCTGCGGCTGCTTCTGACTGCGCTCACAGCAGGCGCCAAGTGCAGCCTCCCAACTTCCACAAACGCGCACGTACAGCCCGGGAGAAAAATCACCGGAGCTTCCCTGACCCAGGAGGTTGGATCAATTCAAGGAGAATTCGAATCCAGCTGCTGCAGGAAGATGAACTCCACCCACCACCATGGCATGTATACTTCCCTCCACCTCTGGAACCGCAGCAGCTACGGCCTGCACGGCAATACCAGCGAGTCCCTGGGGAAGGGGTACTCTGATGGAGGATGCTATGAGCAACTTTTTGTGTCTCCCGAGGTGTTTGTGACTCTGGGTGTCATAAGCCTGTTGGAGAACATTCTAGTGATTGTTGCAATCGCCAAGAACAAGAACCTGCACTCACCCATGTACTTTTTCATCTGTAGCCTGGCTGTGGCAGATATGCTGGTGAGCGTTTCAAACGGGTCGGAAACCATCGTCATCACCCTGTTGAACAGCACCGATACGGACGCGCAGAGCTTCACCGTGAATATTGATAATGTCATTGACTCTGTGATCTGTAGTTCCTTGCTCGCGTCCATTTGCAGCCTGCTTTCCATTGCCGTGGACAGGTATTTCACTATCTTTTACGCCCTCCAGTACCATAACATTATGACGGTTAAGCGGGTAGCGATCATCATAAGTTGTATCTGGGCGGCGTGTACGGTGTCGGGCATCCTCTTCATCGTATACTCGGACAGCAGCGCTGTCATCATTTGCCTCATCACCATGTTCTTCACCATGCTGGTCCTCATGGCCTCTCTCTATGTCCACATGTTCCTGATGGCGAGGCTTCACATTAAGAGGATCGCTGTCCTCCCCGGCACTGGTACCATCCGTCAGGGTGCCAACATGAAGGGAGCAATTACGCTGACCATCCTGATTGGGGTCTTCGTGGTCTGCTGGGCCCCTTTCTTCCTCCACTTACTGTTCTATATCTCTTGCCCTCAGAATCCATACTGTGTGTGCTTCATGTCTCATTTTAACCTGTATCTCATCCTGATCATGTGTAATGCCGTCATTGACCCCCTCATTTATGCCCTCCGGAGTCAAGAACTGAGGAAAACCTTCAAGGAAATCATCTGCTTCTACCCCCTGGGAGGCATCTGCGACTTGTCTAGCAGGTATTAAGTGGGCACTGAGTGCATACTAGGCATACTGGGACCCTGCAGGCTTTCTCACGCTGGCACACCTGAGCAATGTGCTTTGGCAACAGCTGCTTCTCCTGTGTATTGCTTTGGTTGAAAGTTTCAGTTTACGGCTTTTGATATGAAAAAGTCTAAACCTGCTATTTTTAATGTCATGTGCTACTTTTTGGTTTGTCAAGTGCTAATCTATGTTCTATATTGTGGGCGCTGTGGATTTACAAAAAAGGGGGGGGAGACATCCTTATTAAAAGTTTACCAATGTCTCTTTCCTGTTATTTATCAAGATTCAACACTTGTCTTTTCTGTAGTGACAGAAGTCAGAACCTTATTAAATATGTTCTCAACTGTTTCATGCATCACCCCCACAGGACTGCAGAAGCTTGATTCCACTATTTATGGGGAAAATGTTTAAAAACTAGATGCTCGATCATTCTGTAAGCCATCCCCACCAGTGAAATTTCAAGCAACTTAATAAAAGCTTACCTATTATCCTTTCTGTTTAAGTATACTGATACTTCTCTTTAAATAAAAGAAAGAGAAAAGGAAAAGAAGCAGCTACTGAGAAAAAAGTGAGGTTTGGGTCACATGCATTTCTCCAAGGCAGAATTTCTCATCACACTCTTTTCTCCAAGGCAATAGCCTCATAGTACACATAGGCAATTTAGCTGGGGTAGGAGAAATGTCCACTCACTATTAAGATTAAAGTGCCCTGACAAATCTAAACTGCCCAAGCTTTGCTGAAATCCCTTGTTGGAAAATGATCCCCAAGCATACGTGACCAAACAGAATAAATTCTTTTTGACCCCTTAACCAGAGATCCAGTCCACAGAAACCTCCAGAAAAGTGGCTGCTGCATTGAGAGGTGCAGCGTTTTGTATTAAAGTTGACCATGATTATTTACACATTTCATATGCAGGGGGCTTGCTGTTCACTTTCTGACTACTTTTTGAGCTGGAGTATTAGTGCTGAAGATTAAGCATTTAACATTTCAAACCAAGTCCACATCACAAAACATTTTGGGACAGCGTTTGCAAACAGCTAAAGTGTGGGACTCTGTGCTGCTGGCACATGATACGATGGAAGGAAGGCACACACTGGGTCCTGGGGGGGGGTATAATAAAATAGCTGGTGTTCTTATAGTAGCATCTTGGGGACCGGAATAGTTGCTTTTCTCCAAAATAATACTAAAAGTGTGGTCACTAAGCAACCAAATCTATGCTTTCTAATCTGTGTATACTTTAAAAATCAAAGAGATAAAATCTGTGTTAGGCCGAGGACTAGTGGCAAACTTTCCTGTGATCCAATTGGTAGCATCTCCGACTCATAGGCAAAGATGCTGCGCAGCAGGACATCCGAATTAAAATCTAAATGTTTGAGATATTGATTATGAGCATGAGAAACACTGAAGGCACTCATGTGCAAATACACATCAGAGTATAATGGTGAAGCTAATTGTTTCAAGGTGCTGTCCTCTGAGCCAAACTGCCACCGGCTTCATAAGATTAGCTGTGCTTCCTTGCACACAGGTAGCATCACCATCAGCTTGTGTGTCACTGGTTCCTCAACTGAGTATCTGGGTGGATAGTTTTCTCAGGCATCTGTACACAGTTTGGTCCAATAGAATCCAGAGGCAGCAGTATATAGGCTGAGAAGGAAAAGGGGAATGAGCACCATCTAGGCACCTGTGGGGAAGATGTCTTCCAAGGTGGGCGGAGACTTGCCAGTGTGACTGCTTTGTGGTCACTCTCATAATCCTGTAACTCCTTACTCAAGTTCTGAGGAAGCCCAATAAACCCATTGGGGCCCCCAGGGTAAACTTTTCTGGAATCGTATGTGCATCTGTGGTTGGGCCCATAGGAAGAAGGGGGTAGACATTTTTCACGTCTCCCCCAGGAGGTAATTTTCACAGTAGAACCTTTAATCATGAGAGTAGTTCCAAGGCTGGGTTTTCACTGTGTCACAATGCTTCTGTTTTAAAACAAAAATGCATGTCAGGTTTTATACAACCAACAAAGCCTGCTGAAGTTGGGTCCTGAATGTCCTTCAAAGGCCCATGCATGAAGACTTGCTCTCCAGGGTGCTGCTACTGGAAAAGTGGAGATGTGCCCTGGTGGGAGGACTTCCGGTCATTAGGAGTGCACTCTTGGATGGGACAGTGGGACTGTAGCTCACTCCTATTTCTCTCTTTTACTCCCTGAGGTCCTAAGATGAGTGTTTTTGCCCCAGCAGGAGCTGCCTCACTATAGCGCCAGCACAAGGAAGCCAGTCAGTCCTGAACTACAACCTCTCACACTATCAGCCAACTTGAAACTTTTTCACCTTATAAATTATCTTACTTTAAAAAAAAAAAAGAAGTCAGAAGGTGAGTAAGACATAGAGCACCAAACAATAGGAGTACCCAGTACCCAGGGTGTTTTATTTTTTTATCTGTAATCATTCTTTGTTTCACACAATGACTCGAAGAGATCCAGAGATTTTATACATATAAAGACATATGCACACCCTGTCTCTGGAGCATCGATCCTTCCAAACTGTTCTCTTTCTACACCTCTTCAGGTGACATCTCAGATGTTCAGAAGAAAGTTCTGACTCTTTTTTTTTAAATCCTTTTAATTTTTCTTTCATGTGCATTCATGTTTTGCCTGAACATATATCTGTGTGAAGGTGTCAGGTACCCTAAAACTAGAGTTACGGGCAGCTGTGATATGCCATGTGGGTGCTGGGAATTGAACCCCTGTCCTCTGGAAAAGCAGTCAGTGTTCCCAACCACTGAGACATCTCTCCAGCACTTGAAGTCCTGATTCTTCCTTCATGCTCACATGGTTTTTCTAGAGCTGTCTGGAGTGTTAGCACACCCATTGGTTGTGAACCAGTCTTGCACCACGAGGCTCTCCAGATGTTTGGAGCATACTGTGAGGCTTCAGGGGCTTTCCATGCTGAGAATGTCTCTTTCTAGCTTGTTCTTTGCTCCAAACTATGCCTGGGGACATTTTTTCCTCATTCTCTTTTTTTAAAAAAAATATCTAGATTTCTGCACAGAGACAGTCGTTACTCAAGTGACCCCTGATGGCCTGCTGACTACCAGTAAAGTTTGGAGCTCCAGGTTCTCCAACTGATTTGGTATAGGATCATTGAGATGATCTCATTGCTGAAAGCAAATACACTTACATCTTAGCAGGGGAGAGCATAGGGTAAGAGTTGAGATGGAGATTGGGGGGCTTAAGAAACTTGGCCTACCTAAAATAAAGACACGACAGTACTCTGCCGGATAGAGGATATGTGAAGGTATGATTGCTCCCATTAGAGGACTTTAAATATATTAAGAGCAGATAAATGTTCTTCAGAGAATCACAGGGGAAACACCACAATGGGTAAAGCACACTGTGTCTGTGCCCTTGACTCTAATGGGAGCACACTGAGACAATGTTACCCAATCATGATATTTAGAGTACAGATTGACTCCCCTGCCCTGAACAGGTCCATACTTCCGGCTCACTTTACAACTGTTTCGGCATGCTCCACCTCCCATATTTTCATTTAAGCTCCTCTGGAAATGGGACTCTTGTGCTCATTTTCCCCATGGAGTTTGATGTATAAGATAGATGAAAATACATCTAATACAAATCATAAATAAGAAATGAGCTTGATTTCTGGGAATGGCTTCCCAGGGAGACTCACCCTGGAATCTTTAATGCTCCATCTATTCACAGTTGGGACTGAACCTTCCTGTAGTGTGACTTCTTAGTGCTGCCTGTGTCCTCGCCGTACTGGGTGGTCTTCCAGGCAGGACAAGAGAAGTCACTGAGGTTGACTGGAGGAGGAAATGAGTTGGGCTTAACTGAGCCGCACACAGGAATGTAGCAAAAGCAACCGGTAGCTAGCTATCCTTCAGAAAAATCCACGATTAATTAATTATAGATACAAAAATCACAGCTCAGGTGAATAAAGTTAAGGTCTGCCTCATCAGATCATCCTGACCTTACTACAGATGGAAAAATTAGTCTATAATTGTCCTTACTATAATATTCCATTTGGGCCCACGCAGTGACAGCATTTAGAGCTGTTTGTCTCTAAGCACACTGCAGGAATTAAACTTAACACATACGAGAAGCATTGTGCCTATGGCATCGGAGAGAGAGAATATGGGCTTTAGTAAGTGGGAATCCAAGTATCATTTTCTGTTTGCAACACCCTCTCTTCTGCAGCAATAAAGCACCTCCTAGAAAAGTGAACTGGAGTCTAGGGTCTACCTTACAGGCTGAAAGCATCTGAGCATCCACCTAGCGGGGTGAGGGCATAAGCATCCTAGTTGAGAAGGAAGTAAAAAAAAATGCACGGAGAAGAGAAAAAGAATGAAAACATGCTTATCAGCCGTGTATCAGTTATGTTAGCCTGTCTGGGGAAACAGAACTAAATGGGCAGATAAATAAATGAACAAACAAATCAATAAAATGTGCGTGCATGAGCAGAGACTTATATTTAAGTAGCGACCAACCTGATTGTTGGCTCCAGAATTTCTGTATGTGGAGACTAAAGATTACAATGTGATTCAAATGAATCACACAGTCTTTTTGCTTAGCTTTCACCTTTCACTGGCACTGTGGTCTTCCTGAAATGTTTCTGGAGGGAGATTCCACGGCATTGGTGCAGTTAGGAAACATGAGCATTAGGGCTGATTCCATCATGTAAGCGACTTCTCTTCTGTTTGCCGAGAAGGGAAGGAAGGACACGGGATCCCAGTCTGCTCATTAGCAGCCCACTAATTGAGTGTTATTCTACCACCTGTTTAAGATCTGCAGGCTATTTTGTCCTTCAATAGTTCTCCTACCAGTCTAAACACCGATGATGTACGTGGTAGAGAGTCTTAATTAATACCTCTGACTGGCTTTATGCTCTTTACTTCTTTCATGTTTTTTTCCCCCTACTAAGTCTGTTCTGTTGTGATACAGTAATACAAAGCCAAAAAGGTAAAGCATAATTAAA